CCCCAAAACCCCAAAACCCCAAAACCCCAAAACCCCAAAACCCCAAAACCCCAAAACCCCGTTTCAAGCTGCCATGATTGATAAATCTCTGCTCAATATCTGTAAATGTTAGCAATCGGGGTAATGAATCTGGAATTATGATAAGTGCTGGTGAATGCTGAGTCCAATCTTGTTAATAATATGCTGAAGAGGGAAGCTAGTCTGATCAGCTTCATCACCATCATCCTCATCATCATCGTCATCATCTCCTTCAACTTTGCATTCAAGATCCATTTGGTCAGTGTGAACAGTTCCATCTTCTGAAGTATAGTCAATTTTCGCAAGAATCTCTTTAAGGTAATCTTTGGCTTGATCAAGAATGTCCTCATCAACATCTTCTTCAGATCCTCCAAAGAGGTAAGTCTGATTTATCGATAATTTAATGCCAGGTTTTTTCTCAGGATATTCAGTGAGATCAAGTTGTGCCTTTACAGGAAACATTCAGCTCGGAACTATACTTTAAGAAACTTTGAATACTTTCAGAGGCTTGGAAGTTGAATGTGACTTCCCATGATCCTATTTCATCTTTATACTGGTCATATCCATCAATGGCCCATGCGAAATCAAGTTCTTTCATTAAAGGAAGGACTTCTTCCTCTGTTCTCTTTCTCTGTGCTCCATATTTATAGTAAAGATATCTACAAAGTTGTTAGCCAAGAATAGTGATTTCCTTACTCTCTGTTCAGTCTTAAAGTCCTATAGTAAAATTTGAGGGTTGTTCGCTTGTTAGAACTAGGATTTTGCAGCCCAAATTAGCAAATTCCTGAACGATTAGGATGCTCTAAAGCATAAAAATAGCCAATTGATACATCCATAATAAGGCAGCTGGCTTATGGAGTTCACTAAATCAGGAGGAGGTTTTACCTTGGCATTTCCTCGAATTCATCAACTTGGTCGTAGAGCTTGTTAATATATTCCTCAGTGACGAGCATTTTCTCTTTGGATCCTTCCATTTTAATTATTTTTACTATAGATTCCGGGGTTTTGGGGTTTTGGGGTTTTGGGGTTTTGGGG